GCATCCCAGCACAGAAGCAGTCCCAGTCTTTGCCTGCAAAAGGCAAGTTTCTCATCCTGTAGTGCATGAAGACCCTGATTTCAGGCATTTTCCACCTATCCTGGCATTTTCCGTCCTGTTAGGGGCTGCTTTCTCCTGAAATCACAGAAAGGGTGGGTTTGTGTGAGATGGCACGGCTGTTAGTGCAGGGGTAGATGGTCAAAAAGTGACAGGGTGTCCAGGGAAGTGAATACACTTTGCAGAGGCCATGTAGGATTAATGGTGTTGGAGGGTAGACAGTAACATGAGCCAGTGAGAGAAGGTGTTGCAGGCAGTAGTCAGTGTAGAGTATGAATCTCAGTAAGAAATTGGTTCAGTAGCATAGATTGTGTCTATCAGGTACTGGAAGAAAGAATGTAACTCCTATCCTTAAGGAGCAGAGGAGGTTATTGACCTCCTTATGGTACTTGTTGGCCAGTACTTTGCACTATGTAGATGGCACTGACCCAAGTAGCAACCTCAGACCTGGTTGCTAGGATCTGGCATTGTGGCTCCCTCTGCTGGTCCTGTAGGAAGAGGATGCCCCTCCTTTGCTTCACCCCGTCCACCAGGATTTCCATGTCACTGTCAGAGAATCACCGTGCCATCTTCTCCTTCTCCAACATTTTCCATATGACTGTCTGTTACTGAGCAGGGCAGCTTCGGAAAGCCACAGCTATTCTGCATATGCGGCAGACTTTCCACAAAATGGCACAGGTGCCAAGGATGCTGGTCTTTTGGTGGGGATTTGGTGACTGGTGAGTTGTTCCAGAAACAGCAAGTTGTTGGATGGGCTAAAGGCTTTTAGATGTAACATCCTCCACTGATCCATTTGTTTTTGTGATATCGTTCTCCTTGTCAACTGAATCACAGATATTTTACCTCCTGACCTCAGTTGTCTGCTCCTTGGAATTGTCTTTGTCAATGTTATATCATCCTTTAACTGAAAATAGTTAGACAATTGTTTATCTAAGTCTCTGTCGACATCTGATTAGTTTGTCTTTTAAGGTCTTAGTTCTCTTTAAGTCCATACGGATCATTAATAAACACATCAATACATTCCCCTGCTCATTACATTCAGTACTCTTGACAATGGTATGTTTTCCACAGACTGAAGTGGGCATCAAGTGGGCACCTAGTACTTCCTTGTATGTAGTTTTCTCTTTAAGAATCCCTTGTCTGACTGGGATAGTTTCTGTATGGGCATCTTTTGAATAACACAACACATGATCTGCTTGGTTTTGCAGTGAGGCTGGATGAAGTATAATATCTTGTAAACCTTCGGTGCCAGCTCAGGTACGGTTCTGCCTGACCAGGATGTTAAACTTGCTCAAAGTTTTTTGATAAAGACAGGGACTTTTCTAGATTGTTGCTTCACTTATTGCCACCATAAAATGTCCTTTGTATTGAAATGTTGTTGAAGAATATTCAAAGTGCGTTCTTCTGAGAAATGGCTGCGAGAGAACAAGATCATGAAACATTGCAACACTTCCTTGATGTGTATACTGTGTTTCATCAGGATATCACATAATGAAACTTAAACATTTAAGCCATACTCCAGCATTTTCTTCTATCTACTTCTGGCTCTCTCTTCCCTGCAGATAGATATGCAATCTACATGCATACCACATCAGATGTCAATGCAGCTGGACTGAGAGAGAAGGCAAACACACATAGCATCCATATTAGAGAACAGTTATACGGTCATGTTGATGCTATAGTTAATAAGGTGTTTAAAAAGCAATAATCCGTCTCATTTTATTCAGAGATAGTAGGAACTGCAGATGCTGGAGAATCTGAGATAACAAGGTGTGGAGCTGGATGAACACAGCAGGCCAAGCAGC